CGTACGTGCGTGTGTATGTTGTTTTTTTGAGCGAACTTCCGAAAGGATGCGCGAGAGAACAAGGGGCCGTGTATTGGGGGCGGAGTGGAATGGATGATGAGACAAATTGTACAGCCCTTAGCTCCTATCGAAATCTATCCACCCCCAAAAAGTCCCGCACCACCCCACCACCGGCCGCCCCCAGTCATAGCAATTATGAACCGCGGGCCGGCAGGTCTGAGTATAATTTTTTGTACTGTGTAAATGTAAGAACATACGTTTGAATAAGAAAAATGTTTATATTACAAAAAAAATACGAACGAAAGATCAGTCACTCGACCAACCCCTTCAATCGCACGCTGGTAGGTAAGGTACAGAGGTGTGATTAAGTTCTCAATTAAAATCATTCGATTTATTCGAATGATTCCATTTTTATGGTATAATAGAATGCGCAAGAATAGAATCACAATTTTCGCACCTCTATACTATGATCGATCCAGACCTCTTTCTTTATTATTATTTTCAGAAACACCGGTACCACGGGTATTATGATGGACGAGCCTTACAGGGGATTCCCGAACTGGCGCACGAACTTTGAAAGTTAATCTCATTATGGGACTTGTTGCTCCGAGATAACACGGTAACTTGTTGCTCGTTGGCAAAGATTCAACAGCCATTTCTGATTTCTTTCGCAGCTTGCCGGCAAGGTTTCCTGAGATATACTAGTGACTTTGCACGATTCCTTGACTATACCAGGTGTTCCGTTGAGACGCGGCACGCGCAGTGAACGAATTTCGAGCGGAACACGCGAGGAAAAGTTTCGCAACTTGATATAAATAGTGACGAGGGCGGAGAGGAGCGTTCAAAGTAATGTATCTAAAGTTAACGATGACGCCGAAGACAGAGAAGGGACGGGTTGAACGAAGAATCACCTGGGATAAGTGGGAGTGGCTGTAACGTAGGAATGGGCAGAGGAAGAACTCGTTTTCCATTCATAGATCCTCCTTACGTCCAGCGTGGCGTGACGCATTCCGTTTCGAATTCGAGCAGCGCGATTTTTATTCACGAAAAAATACTCGGGAAAGTAGACTCGCGTTAACTCGCCTATGAAATTACGTGGCGATCCATAGTCCGACTATGTGCTCTAACAACGGCCCCGTTTTCCGTTACACAGGCCACGTGTCCTGGTTTCCGGTATTTGGTTTCGCACGAAATCCCGTAAGACCCGTGCCGGCTATTTAGCAAAGCTTTTTGACGATGGCTATACATTTGTCAATGATAGTATATATCCGGCGTGAGGACAGACAGCCGATAAAACTATGGTATAAATCTGTAGCTAATGGCGTATAGCGGGCGGAGAAGCCGCTTTCCGAACGACGATTACTCATTGAGTTGTTTGGAATTTCGAAGTAAAACGATACAAGAACCTTGTGGAAGAATTATTTCTAAAAACAGACCATTAAATGAAATACAATCATTATTAATCGTGTAGGAACAAATTTGAAGAATTTTTCGTGAATAAATAATTCAATGGTAAAAGTCACCGGGCGCGATACGAATGAACATAAACGACGAGTTAATTTGTCTTTCCCGGTGAACAGGATAATTCCCCCCTCCAACGGTCGACGACCATTTAATACCGAAAGTATGCCTCCCCACCAGTCGTGAAAACTTTCGTTACACCCCTTATGGAGGAGGCAGTAGCGCGTGGTACAGTGTGTCGCCTACACGGGTCGTGCAGTCTCTGTGTTCAAGATGGCGCTCAACCTGTGGAGAGAAAGACGACGGCTGAGCGTCTGAACGGACAGAGAGGGTACCCGCACACGGCAGCGGGCACGGTTGTAGCGCTGCGTCGAGGCGTCGGACAATGAACGTGAGCCGGACCGATCTCCGCCAGTTGACGAAGTGACTCAGACCGGTCGACGGTGGATCGCGGGTGTATACGCGAGTGAAAAAACGTGGACCGGGATTAGAACCGCGACTCGGTACACGCAAAATGTGGCTGCAGATCGCCACGGTGCCACGCTCGAGAATAAGTATCCGTTAGCGAGTTGGTGCGCGCTTTTTTGTCGGTTATGTCAGTGCGCGTCAAGTCAAAATGGCAGCCACGTTAACCGTCGAGCAGGAGCAGGTAAGGGGGATCATCGATCGTCCGGTGGAACCGCGACACCGATTCCAAAACCGTTTTTGGTAATCGTCGCGTACAGTCGATTTCATCGAGAGACACATTCTCTACGCGGACGTGTTTACCACCGTGCAATATAAACACATCGTCGCTCGTTTCCTCTCTATCTTCATCTCTCTTTCTCGCTCGCTTTATCTGCGTTTATCCCACTCGCTCGCTCTTTCTTCCTCTTCCTCTCTCTTTCTGACTGTCTCT